TCTCTGAGTACCATTTTAATCTCTTGGGCATGTGACTGGGGGATCCCTCGGAGCGACCTGAAGGAGATTTTCCTTGCTTTTTCCTTATTTTCTTTTTTGTTTGTCACTTATGTACGGACGCTTACTTGTCTATGTTTTGTTCTTTCCCCTTTTATTGTTTTGGCTTTAGGAAGACATAGGATTCAGTTCCATACTGACTTTGTATCTTTATTTTTTTACTAATGCAACCTGCAAACGTTCATCTCTCTCTCTCTCTCTCTCTCCCTCTTGCTCTCTCTCTCTCTCTCTCTCTCTCTCTATCTACCCTCTCTCTCTTCTCTCTCCTTGCCCTCTAGCTCAAAAATAAAATAAGTTCAGCTCTCCTTTTGCTCCGCTAGCGTGAACACATCGCTCTCTCTTCTCTCTCTCTCTCTCTTTCTCCCTCTTCCCTCTCCTCTCTCATTCTCTCTCTCTCTCACTCCGTCCTCTCTCTCTCTCTCTCCTCTCTCTCTCTCTTTCTCTCTCTATATATATAAATATACATATATATATATATATATATATAATATATCTTCTCTCTCTCTCTCTCTCCCCCCCCCGTGTGCTCTCTCTCTCTCTCTCTCTCTCTCTCTCTCTCTCCCCCATATGACAACCTACTTTGCTATTATTTTTGAAATGAGAACCAGCTTTAATATTTAGCGTCTTAATTTTTCTTTAAAAAAAGGGTTACTGACTTCTTTTGTGCAACATTTTGCATCTTGTACTCATCTATATGGCGCGCCTGCCATCTCAGATTATAGCTATGCCTTAAATTTTAAAAATGGAAAATAGGTAGTCCAAGATATTTGATGTGAGCAAGGGATTGGTTGATTTGGAGGATAGCTTCAGGAGCATCTTTAGATACCATAATGCTACTTTTCTGAGGATTGACATGTTAACCAGAAACAGAAGCAAAACTAGTCAAGATAGAGTTGAGGGTTTGTGCGTTGGTGGAGGTGGCTTTCCCAAATACCAGGAGATCATTAGTAAACATAAGGTGGGTAATGGAACAATCACCAATGCTCATACCGATAAAATTGGAGTTGGAGGTGGCCCGATCCAAAGAAGTAGAAATACCATCCATAATTAAAGTAAAAAGGTAAGGGGATAGTGGGCACCCTTGCTTGAGCCCTGAAGTCGAGTTGAAATAGCCTTCAAGGGCACCATTGATGCTTATAGAGAAATGGACATCTATAATATACGTTTTAATCCAGGATATAAAAACATCTGAGAAGCCTTTAACCGCCTGCACGTGGAGAAAGAAATCCCTAGAAACAGTGCCAAATGCTTTTCTTATATCTGATTTGGCACAACAAAACTTATCTTTAGCATTGTGATTGAAATTCCCTAATGGTTCTGTAGCAAGGAGAATGTTATCAGAGATAATCTTATTCTTAATGAATCCTCCTTGACTTGTATGGAAAATGAAGGACATCACCTCTTTCATCCTATTGGCAATGATCTTAGCTATGACTTTATAAATGACATTGCACAAAGAAATAGGTCTAAAGTACTTAACATTTTTGTCCTGAGGTTGCTTTGGAATTAAAGTAATAGTAGTTGCTTTCACTTGCTTAGGCATAAAACCAATGGTGAAAGAGGAAAGAATAGCCTTTCAAAGTTGATGTTTGATGACATTCCAAGAGGTTTTGTAGAACTCAAATGGGAAATCAATAGTACCAGGTCCAGAGTTAGCTTTGCCAGTAAAAATAATAGTTTTGATCTCATCAATATTGACCGGAGATGTGAGCAAGGGCAGAAGGTGTGGAGGAATCAGATTCCTGAGGGGGGAATATCCTAAAAGTTGAGATTAGTGGAAGGAGGGTTGTGGGTATTGAAGAGCTTGGAGTAATGGTTAATGAAAACCTTGAAGATGTCTTCATGGGTGGTGACAGGTCCTTGATTAGTGATTATTTCTTTGATCCGGTTATGGTTTTTGGAGATGTTGATTTTTGAGTATAAGAATTTTAAGTCATCTTCACCATGAGTGAGGCAACTAACCTTAGCACTTTGAGACATCCAACTGGTAAGAGTAGCATGGTAATAAGAAAGCTTAATGTTAATGTTGTTGAGATAATTATTCAGAGAATTATCAAGAGGTTTTCTCTGGATTTGAGATATGAATTTGTTTTGCAAACATCTAAGAGTGTCAATCTCATCCTAGATAGCTGTAAAATTAGACCAATGTTTATGCTTGATGAGGTTTTTTACGCTCTTAAGCTTATTGTAGAAAGAGAAAAGGGGGCTACTGGTATTAGTTTGGAAGAAAGCTTGGAGTAGACAGTCCCAGAATTCCAACTAATTCAAAGAATGGTTGTTATACATGAAACGGTGGCCTTTCATACCATCTTGATTATTAATTAGAGTAAGGGGAGAGTGGTCTGAGAAATTTGGGTCTCCAACAATGTAGTAAGAGTTTGGGTAAGTAAACAACCAAGCATCATTAATAAGAACTATATCTAGCTTTATATAGATAGGGTTACAAGGTTGTTGGTTGTGCAAAGTGAAATAGTGCCCAACATAAGAGAGATCATGCAAACCCGAGATGAAAATCATTATATTAAAGTCACCAATCTTGTTGTTGTTGAGCAAAGTACCGCCAGCTTCATCATTTGGGGAACAACAACAATTAAACTCTCAAATGATAGCCCAGGGAAGAGTAATAGTTTCAAAATTTTTTTGGATGTTGTCCCATAGGAACTGCCTTTTCAAATGAGAATTACTAAGATAAACCGTGGTAATATCATAGATGGGGGCAGAGGCAATAATAATGGTACCATGGATGAATTGGTTAGTGGTGATCTCAAGGATGAAATTAATAGCGTTTACATTCCATTTAATCCAGATATGCCCTAGATTATAGTGCTGGAAATTGTGGCAAGAGGCTTCCATAGGGAACACTTTGTGGTTGGTAAGAAACCATTGATTGGAGAGGTTACTAAGGGATATTTTAGCTTCAAGGATGAAGAGGATGTTAAGGTTGTGTTTTTGGGTTAATTATTTGCAGTATAAGACTTTGTTAGGGTTATAAAACCCACAAATATTCCAGGTTACAATATTGGGTAAGGTCATTGACATTTATGGGTTGGGGTAGAGTCCTTTTTAGGTTGCTTGCCTCTAGTTTGATTTTGATTTTGTTGAGAGATTTATTTGGTTTTTGTGGTGTCTGATATAGAGGTGGAGGAGGACGAATCTGTGAGAGTGGGAATGGTGGGTTGGTGACTACGGGGTGATGTTTGTGGTGGGCTGTTTTGGTTAGGATTTGAAATGTTTGGTGAGTTATTTGTGATTTGGGTTGTAGTGATAAGTTGCTATAGATTCCCTTTTTTTGAAAGGGCTTCAAATTGATTTTTGGTTTTTATTGTGGAAAGGTCTTTAGGAGGGGAGGTAGGGAGAGGAGGCAAAGTTATTTCACCTGAAGGGGAATTTAGATTCGGTATTAGAGGACCCAGAGGTGGGTTGGGAAGTAAATGGAGATTAGATGAGGTGGTGTCCAATTTGGGAGGTGGCGTTGGTTTGGGGATGGTTAGTTTCCTATTTGATATATTCAACTTTAGAAATGATGACTTTTATAAAATTTATTCTTGCTTTTGGATGTCTTGAAGAATGTTATGTTCGTCTTTTAAGATGATATAATATTATTCTTGCCATATCTAAATAAAAGAATGAATAAATTTTTCAAAAAGCTTATTTCTATTTTTAAGTATATTCTTAAGAATTTCATGTTTATTTTTCGAAATAATATGCTATTCTTTAAATTGTGTTTGATTATAGAAATATCAATTTTCAAAACCCTATTTTGATATTGAATCCATTATAGAATATTGTGTCAGTTTCTCGAAATTGTACTTTATTCTTAAATGTAGTATTCGATTACAAAATAGGAGAAAATCAAAATCTACGTGGTGAGACACAATTTTTTTTCCCACCAAAAACTTCCCTCAAGACGACCCTTAAATCCGATGGTACTGAGGTGCAAGTTTGCCGGAGCAACCGTGTGAATATCCCCTTCACTCTCCCTTAAAATCCCCTCCAAGGATCTTCTCCCTCTCAAACTCCACCATTTCCTGTCTCCCTTTCAAGTTCTCTCTTCTAGTTTTCTACAAAAGAACGAAGACACAATAACTGTCAAAGATACACTTTGTCGTCCTTTTACACTCTCCAAGTGTTGGCAGAGAACCGGACCGATGTTGTTGGTTGAACTTCACTTGAGAGCCTTCAAAGGAGATGGGAAAAAACAAAGAGATCTTCTTCTTCAAGTAACCTTGGGAATCCCTCACAAACCCCTCACTTGATCTCTCACTCTTCACTCTTACAATATCTCCCAAACACTCACACTTAATGATCCCTCTCAAGAGAAAACAACTCAAAAGTTACTTGTAATAGTTTTTAGGACTCCTTATATAGAAAGGACATGAAAAACTGTCCAAAAAACTACTAATTTCAAATTTTTTTGCGCAGTGGATCGTCCCGTACGAACCTGAGTTAGTACAGACGAACTGTGTAAAAAACTGTCCCGTACGAACCATTTGTGCATCAGTAAGAACCAATTTCGTCCTGAGACGAAATAGGTTCGTCCCGGGATGAAATAGGTTCGTCCCGGGATGAAATAGGTTCCTACTCATTCTAGGATGAAAATATTTCTAGAAACTGCCATAGTCGGTTCCCTTCATCCTTGGATGAAAATATTTCGTCCTGGACAATCAGAACTTAGAAAAAATATTTTTCTTCAGTTCCTATTCATTCCATTGTTCTTACGAGGAGATAACTAACTTGATCGTCCCGTACGAACTATGTTCATCCCATACGATCAGTACAAAATATTTAAGATCTCCTTAAGTGTGTGTGTTTTAATTCACTCAATTTACAATCACTCCCTTTCAAGTTTATTTCAAAGAAAAGTACAAGCTTCAAATCATAGAGTATTTCATGATGAATTGATTTTGAAGTCTTCGTTTGTCTGGAGTTCGATTGTCCTGAAATGTTAGTCAACACAAGAGTAAAAACAAATATTTCAAAAAATATTAGGAGATAACAACACATAAAACAATAATATTTGGAATCATCAAAACTATATAAGTTGCAAGAATGTAAAACATACAAATAACAACTTTCCTAACAGAGTGGGGGGGAGTGGTTAACCGTGGCTTGCGACTGGTGCTTCTACCCCGAGGTCTGGAAGTTGTGTTATAGGGAAGAATGGCGTCTTTAGGACATAGAGAAGGGGGGTGCATGATGGAGCCGCACTGAGAATAGTGTTCCAATTTCCAATCAAATTGGATTATAGGCGGGGAAGTTTTACATCAACATAGTAGAAAATTTCATCAGGGAGAGTGGAGGTGCTAGTGATTTGCACACAAACTCTAGCAAAGGTTAAACGGTTTTGGCGGTAGTGAGAGCATCGACAGCTAGAGGGATTCCAACACAACTAGCAAGTTTAGATATACCATCCAATGTTCAGCAAAAGAGGGGACATTTCATAATTTTGATCCAAAGAAGAATCGATGGGAACTCTTCGCACTTGGGGACAAAATTCAAACTCCACTTTTGAAGGATGAAGGGGTTTTTGAAGAAAAACTAGGGGCCTCCTATCTATGCAAGTTCATAATCTTCAATCACTGTAAATTTCAGGAGGAAGAAACCATCATCCATTGTTAGAAGAGAGAAAGCTCCTTTGAGTTTCCATGTCTTTTTGATAACAGATAGCAAAGCCTCGTAGAATGACCTTTTGCCCACTAAATATCCAACAAGAGAGAGATACCATTCAGGGGCTCCAGCAAGGAATTCATCACTGGTAAATTGGGCTATGAGATTTTGTGTGGGGACAAAAGCTAGGGAATTAGAGAACTCCATTTGAAACTTGAGGGGTTAAGGGGGGGAAGGAGTAAGCCAAAACCTAGGGCGACAAAGAAACCCTACCAGAGCTTGCTGAAAATCACTTGATAAAGCTAATGATTTCAAACCTCTGATCCAAAAAATCACTTCTTCTCTTGTTGGTTGGAAGGCGAAAATTCTATCCTTTGTTGGTTGGATTTAATTTCTCAAATTCACCACAAGCAACACGTTGACTTATTGGAATAGAGATTCTATCTTGCCTAAAGGATGTTGCAAACTCATTAACCTTTTGTGCTCTAGATTCCTGTATTTTGGGGAAACTAATCTCAGGAAAATCCACACCATCTCCTGGAAAAACACTTGCATTCCCAAACAAAATGGTGGACTGGGTATCCCATCCATTGACTGCCTTCAGCACAACTTTGCCTGCTCGATGATCAGGAGATTTTTAAATAAAAGGAGCCTTCTTTTTGACTGGTGGAGAGCAAAATATTATTCTTTATGGAACTTGTTGCCTATTAATAGCTTTGCTTATTGGAGCTACCTTTGCAACAAGATTGTTTCTATTAAACATTGCCTTACTTTGTTTGTCCACTATAGTAACAATTTATCCTTCTTATGGGACCCTTGGTGGAATGGAAAATCTGTGGTAGATTTATTGAATGAAAGACTGAAGCTACGGAACTTTACCTATATGTCTAATTGGAAAGTTTCTATGGTTATCAATGATATCAATTGGACATTACCTAATAGTTTTGATGTTTCTACTTCTTTTGTCATTTGTACCATACATATTAACAATTCCTTGGAAAACCACCTTTGGTTGGATGCCTAAAACCCCAAATTTCACACTTTCCAGGAATTTTTATACACCTCTCTTGACAAAGTTTCTTGGCACAAGCTTGTCTAGCATAAAAAAGCTGCTTTAAGATTCTCGAGCTTTGCTTGGATGGCTTTCAAAGGGGGGTCTCAAAACTGCAGAATTTTTAGCTACTCGTGGGATTGCAAGTGGAACTAAATGTCGCTTTTATCTAGAGGAATCTGAAACTACATCCCACATTTTCTTTGAATGTAACTTTACCTTTAACATTATCAAGAATCTCCTTCCCTGGCTGGGAAATATCCTTATGAGACCCAACCTGCATCAAGCTCTTGATAGTGTTATGGACCGAGGGCTCTCTGGTATTCAAATATGTTACTACATTCTTGCTAGCTGTGCTACCGTGTACTTTATATGGAGGGCTAGAAACGATATATTATTTGGCGATATTTTTGATTGCCAAGCCACGATTACTACTAAGATTAAACAAGTTGTTATGACGAAAACTGCAAAGTTGAAGCACACCGAGGATGTTAACTAATTGCTTCACCATTTTCTCGGTTGCTATTTGCCAAATGCTGCCTATATTTTATTTTGAAAGGACGATGATGATTGCTGCCTATGCAGCAGCCCCTTGGACGGTCACTTTGGCAACCAGGATGGTCACTTTGGCAACCAGGGGCAAGGCTTTGGTGTAGTCCCTTCTAGTTCTTGACCCTACAAGAGTTTTTTCACGTTGAAGCCGCCTGAGTCCTTCAAGTTTTGATCTTCATTTTAGTTTCTTTTTGGCTTTGTAATTTTTGAGTCGTTGGCTACTCTTTTTGTTGTTGAGTGCCAGGACTATAGTTTTATTTTTACTCACTTGTAACTTTTCATTTATCAATGATACATGATTTGATCTTAAATTTCCAAAAAAAAAGAAAAAATATAATAATAAAAAATAAAAAATTAAAAGTCTACCCTAACTTTTCGCGCCGAAACCCCAAGTCAAATCAAAAGGTGGGTCCCTCCCACCTTTTTCGCTCTTCCTTTTCTCTTTTTATGCCCTTCCATTCAAATAAAATGAGCACTTACCAGTTACCACAATAGCCTTCACCGTCGCTCAGATTGAGATGGATGCCACAATCGATCATTGCACAAAGTCAGTTGGTAATTTTCTGTTCATCATTTTTCTCAATTTTCTTCCTTATTTTTTTTTTTTAATTTTTTTTTGCTATTGTTATATGGATTATTGGGGATCTCAGGAGGGTCATTACTTTGATATGCACTTCGATCTGCAACCAAAGGGAAGGATGTGAAGACATCGAATGAGGAGACGCATAAAAGTTTGGCTACTAGAAGGTTTGGCTATCTTTTATGACTTATTTTCTTTGTTTCATTGATTTAGGTTGATGGAAACTATTATTTATGGGAGCAGAAAAGAGGTCTCTCGGTTGTTTTCTCTAATTTTTTCTTGGAGGACAAGTTGGACATCACTCTACCCCTGATTTTTATTTTTAAGCAGATCGTTTGTTTGTTTAATGAGATCTACTGGGTAAACATCAAATTTTAAAGTTTATCCATGGTGGGATTCTATTGAAAACTTTTTCCTAGACCTAAAATATGTTGGCTACTGGTATGCTTGGTGTTTTTTTATTTCATGTTGTGTTTGCTTTTATTTTTTTATTTCTACTTTTCATAGAACTAAGTACACTAATTATTTAATATATTTATGATTTTTGGAGACTATGATCGGAGGGAAGCAAATGGAAGTTCTGTGGTATCTGCTCTGAGGTCGAACTGGATGCAGAGCCATTAGATAGTTTAAGGAGATCTTAGAGGAAAAGCTAAGTTTGATTGTTGGAGGGTTTTAATGGGAAAATCTGTTATATCCTAAAAAATTATTGGCTAAAGAGGTCAGTGTTTCCTCATCGCAGTTATGATTTATAAATCTTGTATTTGATAGGTTGAGAGCTAAAACCAATGAAAGGTTCATCGCTAAATTTTGGTGGCTATCCGTATGGATTTACCCCAGAAAAATTTAATCACATTCAGATGCAAATATGACCTGTAACAGAAGGATCGAGATTGAAATGAATATCTTGATAGTTGTTTTTGAGCATTAATAAATTTATAGATGAAATGTATAGCTACCCTTTATTTTTGTCATAATGATAGCAGAATTCCTGCACTTGTAACTTTTTATTTTAATTATTACACTCAGCTTAATTTGTTTTTTAACTTGAACAGTGATCCTTATATGTTGTTTTCACTAACCCCCTGATATTTTTATACCTATCATAATCAATATGGGTGCAATTTTTTTATTAATTTGTCTCATATGCACTGAACCTTCAGTAGTTTTCATCAACTTAGTAACGTTTTAAAAATCGGACCGGACCGCCCGATTTAACAGGTTGAACTGGTACCCGGCCGGCCGGCCTGTTCATTTTAACACCAAAATCAACAAAGCAGGGAACCGGATTGAACCGGTCGGACCGTGAAACCGGCGAACCGGAAATCGGACTCGAACCGCCTTGTTAAACTTAGACGCATCTTCAGCCGTTGGATTTCAATCGTGTGGTTTTTGAGAAATAACTAAATAAGTATGTGAAGTAAAACTTTAAAACCTAACTTCTTTTTCTCCTACTCTGTAATGTCGTAACTTCCGAAGCCGCTCCTCTCCTCTGCTCCTCCTCCTTCGTCTCTGTAGCTCCTTTGTTGGTGCTCGGATTTGTCTGTGGCAACTGCAGAAGACAAAGAAGCATAGGAGATTTCGGCTTCAATAATAGGTCATCTTGTTAGTGTTCTAGATATCCCCCTCTCTCTATTTTCTATGTTGAACATTTTTTTTCTAATATTTCAGCTCTTTTTTCATTTTTTGCATTAGTGATTTTCAGCCTTTATTCTTCTACATCTACCTCATATTTGTTGTGATATTTTTGGATATATCTTTCCTTTGATCTGCTCTTAGTTTTGTTATTTCTCTCAGTTTAGAGAATGAGATGCATTGAAGATATTTTTTGGAACATGCGAGAAAGCACAATATGGTGGTTTTTCTTCCACTGATTTGTTTTATTGTTTTCTCACCTAAGTTGATTTATGGAGAAATGAGTAGTATTTTTCGCAATTGCTGTCATGTGGTCAATAGTCGAATTTGTCTACTATTTTATAGAGATGAATAAAATAACTCAGAGGAAACCAGCACTGATGTTCTGTTCCGGCATTAGAAGCGTAGTTGCTAGCTCTAAAACCATCCTTCATCTTCTGTCATTTGGATTAATTAACTTCATCCTTGATTATATGCCTGTGGTGTTTAGAAATATCAGGTTAGAAAAGCTAGTTCATGGTAAAGAATCTGTTTTATTGTTGGATGCAGATTTCTTAAGTAGGAATCAGACATTGAAGCTACAACAATTCACTGCTGATGTATTTTGAAGAGGAAAATTTTGATATATTACTTGTTTATTTTGATATGAAAATGAAATGTATATTGTATAGTGAATGTATTAGATGAAAATTTTTCATTCATTTTATAATTTTTAATAATATTATTATTTATTACGTCATCCGGTTCAAACCGTGAACCTCTCCTTCTTCCTGTTCGTTGTCCGGTCCGGTTTTCAAAACCTTGGTAATAAGTATATAAATTATTTAATTTTATATTTGCCAAGGCAAAAGGACATATAGGCGCCAATATTCGGACTTGAGGAAGAATGAGCATGAAATAAAATGGTGCTCAATGTTTATTGATATAGGTTATTTTTTATTTGCTCTGTAAATTTTAAAAAAGCTGCTTATGATCCCGTATGCTATTGGAAACTTGCACTCAAGAAAATTTGTCAGATTTATTGGCTAAAATGATTACTCTTGTGATTAAACTAGGTTGAGGACTGCACCAAATTTGGCCAAGAGCATGAGCGAAGTCTATCTTTTTGGGAAAGAAAAGTATGCGAAGCCTCCAAAGAGGATCTCAAACCTTATAAAGTCTACTAATAGCAGCCCTCATTCCATCTCTGTTGGAATCCTCACACCACTATCTGAAAATTAAAAGAAACAGATTGAACAATCAGTTGAATTTTGACACACCTATGTCTGATGCATCGAAATATAGCTACAGGAAAAGGTTCAATGTGTTATCTTTAGCTTCCTATTGTTATCACAGATTAAACTTTTTGAGTCGGCTTCAAAGCACTCAGTTTCGATAGGTTTTCATGCTTGCCCTTGAGTCAGGAGTTGAGGCATGGTTGTGTTGATTTATTCTTTCAGAACATTCATAATTAGTTGGGTGGAAATGTCATGATTGATAACATATTTGGATTACTTTTTAGTCATCATGGATGTAGTCTGATTAAAAACAACATACAAACATGCATCTAAAGCGAAGTCTTTTTTATCACCTTTTTAATTTGATTTTCTCATTTCTTGAAATAGCCTCTGCATCAATATTCGTGAAGAAGAACTAAGTCATATGTCCTAAAGTACAACCTTCTAGATGACTAGAAAACATTACAAAGGATTATGTTCAATACTTACAAAATACAAGATCTTAAGAAGCCACAGATTTGGAGAATGATTTCAATTACCAGATCATGTAGCCTTAAACTTGGGTGAGGTTCATAAGAACACTACAAATCTTCATACGGCTCACTGAAGACTTTCTATCTTGTTTCCTGTTACAGTATATCAAGCCTCTTCATGTCAATAGTTATCAAAATATTGTGTGCGTAAGATTTTTTTTCTGTCATACACTTTTCATTGTGATGTTGAAAAAGACTTTTTTTTTCTGATGATTTTCTTGTCAAGCTGAAAGATTTTTGCTATGTTGAAGAATTATTGATATCATCAATGGGTGTGCTGTTCTCTTCAAATTAGTTGGCTTCTAAAGGTTGTTGCGTTTTATGCAACACAGTCTTGTTGTCTTTAAATTATGTTGGCCCTTCTCAAAGGTTGTTGCATTTTTAAGTAGATTCTTTTTTTTAAATTAGTTAGGAAAATTGATGAATTTTAAATTAGATTAATAATAAATTTATTCAAAATTTGAAAGGATTTACATCCCAATGATTTAGAGAAAATTATTTCTTCAAGATAATAAAATTAACCATGCTTTCCATTGTTCATTATTTTTGTGAAAAATAAAATTAACATATATAATCTTAAAAATATAAATTACATTGAAAAAGCAAAAATAATTTGTATTTGAATTTTATGATTAGTGCATATTGTATTTTTTCATTCATTATTTATTGAAAAGGTTTGTATATATTTTTTGGTTTGGCTGCTTGAAAGATTATCATCTCGTTTAACTATATATGAATCAATGTTTTCTTATATGAAGTTAACATTGTTCCAGAACTAATCTCTCATATTTACACACTATTAATACAACAAATGTAGTAGTAGCTTCAGTCAATGAAGCTTTAGTCATTTTGTTCTACAATGATTTAGCTAAAACTTGGAGATATACTAGTCTACTACTAAGTGTATAGTCTTGCTCCGTCTCAAAAGATCACAGCTAGAGTGGAAATGGAACAACAGATTTAACTTTATAAAGTGGGCATGCAAGCAATTTGTAAATATTAAATTGATTAGTAATTAAGATTTTTTTCTTTGTTATATTGTATATTGAAATCAAAACTGGAACTTGATCTTACCTCTATGATTATCTTTGGATCCCATAGAGTATATAAGATTTATCCTTGGATTTAGCTTTATAGAAATTGTATGATCAGATGAACCAATATACATAAATTTTTTTACTCATAATACATAATTGACAAGCTTATGTGCTCATCAAGTAATTTCACCATGCAAAAGTTCTCCATGAAAGAAATGAAGTAACTTTGAATGTAGAGATTAAATTTTAATTAGAAATGCCACAAACATTGTTCTAAAAGATTCCTAGTTTAAACCTTCCTTTAATCATTACTGCACTTCTTGTCATCATAGTCTTATCTAAACCCACCTTCCACCCTTGCATATTTCAACGTACATAGATTTCGCCTCATAAATGCTTTCTTGTTATAAGATGACAATAGTAATTATTTTTTTGGTTTTGTTTTTTAGAGTGAGTTTTGTATCACTGTTTGATCTAATTGATGATGGATGGTTCTCCTAAGATGCTTAGGATAGTAAAGCTATGTTTGTGATGTTTAAATTTTAGTTGAATCAGGGTTATGAAGGAGATAGTGGTTGACTAGCCCAATTTCAATAACAAATCAAGATTTGAGCTTAGATTCTAACCCTTATAACTTCCTCTCTAGAACTCAAAATGACTGAAATAGAAACCAAATTATTGGTTAAGCAGTCTAGTTATCATGAGGAGAATTTCATGATATTTGGTGAATGTTTATAATTTCTTATATTTTTTCCATTCTAGGTATGATATTTTCCTTTATTTTATTATTATTTAATTTATTTTTTTTTATGATATTTCCTTTTTTTATGATATTTCCTTTTATTTATTTATAAGTGACATAGGGTTTCTAGTGCTTTGAAATTTAGCGAATAAGAATCCTAAATTAATGCATGTAGATCAAAGTTTAGGGTGTCTACTACGAATTTGAAGTTTTTTGAGAATTTTTTTGAGGAGTTTAAGTCACTCAATTGAAGATAATTTAAATTATGTTAGTTTTTAACCTTCTTTAGCCTATTCTTGCAAAAAAAAATCCTCTAATGATGGGTTAAAATGCTACAAAAAATAGGATTATAATTTTTTTGAAGTGGGGAATTACTTATAGTTCAAAGAATAAAAGAAAAAGAATCAGGAAATAAATCATGATAAATCCTACTGCTTACCAAAATAATAGTCATAGGAAGTTTCTCCTAACCCTCCATGCAACTTGTTTGAGCTCACCATATCTTTTGGGGGTCCATTTGTTAGTCTCATTTTTAAATGAAGTGTTAATCCTTTAATCCTTATCATCCTTAGTGCTTAGGTATTCCTATCTTACTATGAACATAACCTAGAGGACTTTAAGGGAAAAATCCAAGGACTTATCATTACTAAACTTAGATGGCTTAGGCATTTCCTAAACCACTTTCCAAGAGAACCAGGAAGTATCCACGACCATTCCAAGTCCTTATTCAAGATTAAACCTACGTTAAACCTAACCTTTGCACATTTATAATCAATCTTGAAAGTGATTTGATCCACCATTTATAGCCATGGCCAAACCTTGGTTAACCAAGTTTGACCATGAATCTCTTAAAAATCCTAAAAATACCTAACTGTTCTTTCTTAGGTTAGACAAAGCCCTAAACCCTAGGGTTGTGACCTAAGACCTCTGAATAATTCCATAATCATGTTGAAACCTAATGGAGCCCATTTTGGGCCATGGCTAACCATGATTGGCCCATTCAACCTTTATTGATCCATTTGAACCATAAAACATATTTCATGAATTAAACCTTAAATCTCCCACAACATAGACTTAAACATCTGCCTCCAAGAGCCTCCTAATGTAAATTTGAGCGTGCTTCAATATGGTAATGACTATGAAGAAGCACTTTTTGATCTAATCCTTCCCAATAGTCGATCCATAATGAAGAAGTGTTCCTTGTAATACAACACTACATTGAGGTATAACCCAAACCAGAGCTCACTAGAATAAGGGACTAGGACATTATGAGGAGAATGATCAATCCACATCTATTTAGCTGTTCGATTGGTCCGTCTACTTCCATAGATCCTACTGGATAGATTTGATAGGGTTTTGTAGAGTAGAATGCATGGTTCAAGTCATTATAGGAGCTTGAAGATGAAATCATGGTTGTTTATTCCTTTAAAATTTATGGTATGGTTCTAATTTTACAAGACATAATTATATACTACCACCCTCTATTTTGATTCCTTAAATCTTAACTGTTGATTTCAGATTGAACAACTAGGAGTGATGATAGATGTCATTATAGTCTGTAGTTTCAAATAACCTATCAGCTGTTGCCATTTGGAAAGTGTTGACCAGAAATCATTCTCCACTTCTCCCTACAGTAGCAACTAACTACTGACAGCTTTTCCTCTCTGCAGCAGCCTCCATTGCTTTTGCTTTATGTAACAACACAAGGTAGTTTAGACATTAGTCATTTACTTATATGTGTATTTAAATCAACTCTTGCTACAGTAATAAAATCAATCAAGTTCCATCCAATACCGAGTCATCTTCATCCTCTAGCCCTCGTCTGTGATTTGCATTTGTGCTGTGTCTCCACCTCTTCATGGTATCAGAGCGAATCACCTAGCGGCTTCTCCATCCGTCTGAAATGGGTGACTCTACTCCTGTCTCCGCTGCCTCTACTCCCCAACCAACTCAACATGAGAACCCGAGCAGCACAGACATTCACATACCTCCCACCCTCAAATTTCTACTCTCTAACATCAAGAATGTTATAAATGTTCAACTTCTTCCAGACAACTACCCAACTTGGCGATCAGCTATCCAAAAGTTGTACGCTGCCAACAGCTTCTCCTAGTACTTAGATGGAACACAGCCATGCACTCCTAAACACCTGCTAACTGCCACCAGTCAGCTCACTCTAAATCCCCAATTTTCTTCCTTGTCGTTGATAGATCAAAATCTATCTGTTACCTTGTTCTCTACGATCTCCACATCTATTCTTCCCTACGTGTTGAATCTCGACACCACAACATCCATTTGGAAGACGCTCGAGCAGCGTTTCTACTTCACAAATCGGTCTAGAGTGATTCGGTTGAAAAATGAACTGCACTCATTATATATGCAAAACAAAACAATGACCGAATATCTTGCCTCCGTGAAAACCCTTGTCGACAACATTAATGCCGCCGGAGGATCTGTCGACAGTGAAGATGTCTTACACTACATTCTGAATGGCTTGCCTCCTACCTACCAATCCTTCAAGACATATATTTGATCCTCTCTTCATTCCATCAGTTCAGACAATTTGTACTCATTGCTTTGCAGCGAATAAGTGCACCAAACAACTAATGCTGTTAAAGAATTGTCACTAGCAACTGCATCTTCTACCACCGATCCAACACTTGCTCTGTTTTCAAACAGAGGTCGAGGACGAGGACGATTCAATAACTATAGAGGTCATGGCCATGGAAATAGTTCAAATCACCTTCCTCGATCATCCCATTTTGATGGACATGGTCAAATTTGTGG